AATTATGAAAAAGTTTTTGCCAAGAAATGGTCCCATAAAGTCAACATGTAGTCTCTCCCAAGGAGAATTGGGCCAGTTCCATGGAGATAATTTTGTTTTTGAAGGTGACTTTTTATGTACTATACTACTATACAGGACTGACAAAATTTAGCAGTATTATCTATGTCTTTATCAATATTTGGCCACCAAAAATACGATCTAGCCATACTTTTCATTTTTACTACACCCATATGGATTAAATGTAATTGATTTAAGAGAATGCTCCTTAATTCTTTGGGAATAACTAACCTATCTTTCCACAAAAGGCAATCATCTTCAATGGTCAATTCATTTCTACGAATGAAGTAGCATTTAAGATCACTCTTATCATGTTTCAAACTTACATTTTCAGGCCAGCCATACCTAACCCGTTTTATAATTTCTGTTAAAGTTTTATCTTGTTGAGTTTTATCTTTAACTAACTTAAAACCGATAGGAAAATCATTGTTGGTTTCAAAAAAATTACAATAATCAAAATCAGATTCCTCAGTTTCCTGTGACGGAGAAGGGAATCGAGATAAACTATCCGCCATATTATGTTCAGAACGAACAAATTCGATCTCATAATTTTCGATAATATTACTGTCCATCGTTTTAAACGATTTGCACAGAATTGAGGTATACCTTTCTTCGGATTGAAAATAGAAATTAAAGGTTTATGATCAGTGACCAAAGTAAATCTTTTAGCATAAAGATATTGATGAAATTTTCGAAGCCCAAAAATTATCGCTAAACCTTCCTTTTCTATTTGACTATATTTTTTCTCTGCTTCATTCAAGGAACGTAATGCATAGGCAATAGGTTTTTCACTTCCATTCTCAAATGTGTGAGAAAGGATTGCACCTATACCGTATTGTGATGCATCCACAGACAAATTAGTTTATAATTCTGGATTGAAGTGAACCAAAACATCAGCAGACAACAAAATAAGTTTTACTCGTGTAGAAGAAATTAATTTTTAATTCAAGCATTTTGTGATAGGTTATGCCACTGTCTTGCAGTTAATGGTGAACATTTTGAACATTCATTGCGATGGAAACCATTTTACGGCTAATTTCGTTTTGTCTTCAAGGTTTAATAAGAAACGTGTTTTATTCTGATGTAGGATATCTGGATTAATCTCATTGATCAAATTATGGAAAATAACATTTTCTCGAATAGGGGAATAAGAGAAAACAATCTATATAAAATGAGGTTCCATTTAAAAAAATTCAATTGTTTAACGTTACTCATTTATTTTCGGACATAAAAACAACCGAATGTTGCTTTATTACGGGGAAATAAAATGTTAAACAACTGTACAAAACTCTAATTTTATTGGTCGTATGCGACGCGTCTTCAAAAACGTCTACGGGCGTCTCGTTAATGATCTTTTAATGACTGGCCCGGTAATCCAAAGCGATTTATTTAGTATCCTAATTAGATTTCGATTCCACAAATACGTTGTAACTGCAGACCGTTTTTTTACCGTTTTGAACACGCAGTGAGCCGATAAAGGTATTTGAATTACTTACATTAACGTATGGGACACGGCCGGCTTTAGCAATTGAAGATCAACCGCGAATTCAAAAAATTATCACGGAAGATTTTTACATGGATGCTCTTATCACAGGGGCGGATAACCCCCAAGAATTAGTCTTTATCCGTGATAAGGTAAATCATATAGGTACTTTCGGAAGCAGGATTTCATTTACGCAAATGGGCGTCAAACAATCCAGACGTTTCAAATGGGCTTAATACGACTAACGTCACAAATGTAATACTGAACCTTAATCACGATGAATCTTGAAACACATTAGGGGTAGGTTGGGCTCCTTCTCCAGACCTGATCCAATATAACGCGCATATGAATTCCACGAGGTCAATCGTAACAAAACCGTTCATTTTACATAACGTCTCACAAATATTTAATCCCTTAGGTCTTGTAGGTCCAGTCACGGTTATGGCAAAGCCGCTTATGCAGGACATTTGGAAATTACGCATTGGTTGGGATGTGGAGCTCTCGCAAAATTTAAAGCATCGTTGGGAGGAGATTTCAAGTCAATTACTTACCGTTGGGGTAATAAAAATTCCGCGATGCGTGGCAACAGATCCTACCTCCAGTTTAGAATTACACGGATTTTCAGACGCCATTGTAAGGGCGCACGGTGCCTGTATCTATATCAGGGAAATTTTAGTAGATAATTCGGTACGATGGCAACTGCTATGCGTTAAATCACGAGTAGCGCCGCTGAAAACCTTAACTTTGCCCAAATTAGATTGAGCTATGCGCTGCTCTACTACTAACTGAGTTAGTTGCTAAGGTTTTAAATTCATCGCAAAAAAAATTTGCAAAAGTTATATATTATTGCGATTCAACAATCACTTCGTCTTGGATAAAGGGTTGTCCAAGTAGGTGGAAGGTTTTCGTTGCGCACAGGGTTGCAGATATCCAATCTAAATCTAACATCAATAATTGGGTTCATGTTCCAAAGCAAGACAATCGTGCCGATATTATTTCCTGTGGATTATTACCCAAACAGTTGTCAAGTAGCAAATTATGGTGGAGCGGTCCTAAGTTTTTACAAGACCCTAATTACTCGCCTACTATATTGTATGTCGTATGCAAAAAAATTAAATTTCAACAGAGTCTCAGATTTCATTTTTAATAAATTTTCTACATTCGAAACCCTTATAAGAGTAACGCGCATTCTGCAAACGTTTTATAAAGAATTGCAGAGATAAATCTAAAAAAGTGGTAGGTAAATTTTTACCATTGGAAATTAATGAAGCAGAAGCGACGCTTGTGAAAATGGTACAAGGAGAAACCTTTGGGGATGAAATTAGGTTATTAAAATAATCCAAAAATTTGAACTCTAATTCGCCCATTTTATCGCTTAATCCGTTTTTGGATGGCGATATTTTGCGTGTAGGAGGATGGTTACATCATTCTGACTTAACGTTCTCGAAAAAATTTCCAATACTATTGCCAAAATCGCACGCATTCACAAACCTAGTTATTCCAAATGAGCACATCAAAGCACTTCATGGTGGTGTGCAAACAACACTGTCGCAAATTAGATTGCGGTATTGGCCGATACATGGCAGAAGCGCTACTCAAAAAATTCTTAGACAGTGCGTAGTATGCTTTACAAATAAACCAATTCCTTTAAAATACAAAATGGCGGATTTACCCAAATGTAGATTAACAATTGATCGTCCATTTGCTAAAGTGGGGGTGGATTATTTTGGGCCATTCCTTATAAAGGAGGGTGGTAGCAGGGCCGCCGATAAGAGGGGTCAACCGGGGCATTTGCCCCGGGGCCCGGTCATATTCTAGGGGCCCGGCCAAAAGAGATTTTGAAACATGTTATTTTAACAGAAATCTGCATATATGCATATCTCTATATGAGAGAGTACAATATAAAAAAAATACACAGCAGAAGATTTAAAAAACCATACCATTGAGCAAAATTTCCTAATTACGGCACAGTGGCAGAAGGCTCGCTAGGTAAAAAACCGTTTGAGATCGACTATGAGTCAAGATCGTTAGATCAATTACTGTCTCTTTCAAATCTAAGTAGTCAAGATTAAAAATGTCTAGTTTAAGATAAAGGTGATGGATAACAAAAATTTCAATTATGGGGGCCAGGTCAAAAAATATTGGCTCTGCGAAAAAGTACAAATTGATTTGGATTCTACGCACCCAAATTAATAAGAAACAGTGCTTTCCCGAGAAATTTTGGTGTAGTCGATTTTTGGTAAAAAAGGAAGGTAAAACACTGCCTTTTTTTGAGCCCTGAACAAAAATTGTCTCAGATCGACCCGGAAAAAAATTTTTCTTATAGAATGTGGCCTGCAGAATCCATAATTTCACACAGTTCCAAGATTGGGCTACTAGTTCAAAAGTTACAGCCCTTTGAATTTTTGTGAAAATGCAACCAATTTTGTTGCTACAAGCAATGAGCTTCGGGAGTTGTATAAATTTTTAGAGAGTGAAAAGAACGCAGAAATAATTTCAGATGCAGTTTTGCAATATCGTGTTAAGTGGAATTTTAATCCGCCAAAAGCGCCTCACTTCAGTGGTCTATGGGAGGCTGCGGTAGAATCTTTTAAAAATCACATTTACAAAATCGTAGCTCACGCAAATTTGGAGTTTATAGAACTTTACACTTTAGTTATCGAAATTCTCGGCTGTTAATCCCTATGAGCTCAGATCCTGATGATCACGACTTTCTCACCCCGGGTCATTTCTTAATTGGTGACCACATGCGTGTTTTACCAGAACTTGATTTAAGCGAAGAAAAGCCCAATCTTCGGTCTCGTTGGCAACGTATTCAACAGTTGCGGCAGCAGTTTTGAAAGAAGTGGAGTAGAGATTATGTCCAAGAGCTCCAAAGGCGTCAAAAATGGAAAGGTCTGGGAGATACGACTCTTACCGTTGGTCAACTTGTGCTACTTCAAGAAGACAACGCTCCGTCACGTCATTGGAAATTAGGTCGTGTCACGAAAGTCCATCATGGTCCAGATAACGTTGTGCGTGCAGCAATAATTAAAATGTCACATGGTGAAGTAAAACGACCATCAGTGCGATTGTGTGTGTTACCAACAAATTAACAAGCTGTCAAGTGTTAATAACTTAATGTTTTGTAATATTTTTTTTTATTGTTGACTGTATGTGCATTAATATTTTTTGTGATGAAGTTTATAACGGCAAACTTAGTAATGATAACAATTGTTTAAGTTTTGAATAATATTTAGTTGAAATACTTACCTATCTTAAATATTTCAAGGGGGCCGACTATGTACAAAACTCCAATTTTATTTGGTTTTCCCTTGCCTTGCGCAGTTTAATTTTATTTTATTTTGTGGAAAGAGATTGTGAATTTTATGAATTGATTTGTAATCGTCGAATAATAAACACGATTTTGAACCAGCAAAACAACAACTTTCATATACAAACATTTTGTACACATTCGATATTTACCGAGATATATACTATATTCCATACATAATGGACACCCTGTATAAAAAAGTCATATTAAATCTACCTAGTAACAACGTATAGCAATGTCCCATCACACTCACTCACTTGATTTGATTTTGAAAAACTCACAGTCAGTAGATGATGATGTTATCCTACAGTCTTCAAAAGAACATGTACAGTGTACACGTTCCCTGATGGGTACTTCCTTACAACTTTCCAAGGTAAACCGTATCTCCTAGTTTTATCAGGCCAGGACTACACAAACGGGTATATATGCCGAAAGTTGGCGATGGTGGCTCATTTTCATAAGCTTGGAATGGTCGAAACCTACAATCGCAAATAGTCAACATCACAATATTGTGCTGAGTATTCGTGTACTTTTTCATAGACGTAATTGGCTCATAATTTTTTAAAGGTTCCGCGCTCTCTGGATTAAGGGTAGTCACTCTGCACCTCGGAACGGTCATGGTTTTCCTTATGATGACGTCGCCAATTTTAATCCAATCCCAATCGTCCTCAGAATATGGTACAATATCGCCGCCCACTACAATATTCGGTCTAAAATTATTCATTGTGATATTTGCATTTGGAATTTTCGCTTTTAGATCTTCCAATGACGACTTTGTGAAGAGATGGAAAGTGGCCAAGTCACTATAAAGGCCCTATAATAAACCAATGAGTGTTTCTGATATCATTGTAAGTTGTAACTTACCGCTGCAGAGTTATCAAGGAGCGGATTCCTTGCTGTCTGTTTCGGGTAATATTTTTTGATCTCCCTTCCGTGAGTTCCGTCATGAAAACCTAAACGTAGACCAGTTGGTTTGCCTAGTACGTAATTCGAAATCCACTCGGCCACTTCGTCACCACAATCCAATGTCGGTACCACTTCGGTGTACATTATTAAACTGGAAACATCTGTAAGTAAGTAAAATACAAATGTTGGTGCTTACATCACGCGCACCTTTTGATCCGGTACTTTAAAAATGATGCTACCCATGTCTGAAGCAGACAAACAAAAATGGTCCCTATCAATTACCCCCGCCTCTAAGAGAAGTATCTTCGGTTGATCCCGAGCCGATTTGATTTCCTTAGTTGGATCCTGGTATATTGCTAGGCATCTAATGGAAGTGAGTTAAACTGTAAGTGTGAGGTTCTTACCGATCTCTAAAATGAGGAAGGGAAGGATCGGTGGGTTGGAACCCGAACTCAGTACAAATTGCGTTATCAATTGGTACACGTCTGCCGCTTTTCAAAGGGTACATGAACATCTCTGTAACGTTACCCACAGGCTCCCATTGTTGTGGGATCCTGTTACGAGCCCTTCTGCGCAGGTAGTAGGCGAGTGCTGTCACAGCTATAACTGTGGTCGTCGCAAGGGTGACTTGGGTGCTGTATTGAGGAGCCATTTGTAGATTTCCTGCCTGAGAAAAGACTGGGAGATTCTAGAACTGTTATGGGATTAGGAAAAGTAACACTTACCTTCTATTTTGTGAAAACGTAGGTGATCAATCTGGAACGTGTCTACTACTGAAAATGGATCGCACTATCGCACTGTTATACTAAGCTGTGCAGATAACCTTTATAATCAAAGTTTATACTCAACATTGGAGTTGGTAAGGTTACCCTGGGGTTGCGATAACGCTTCTGGACGGCTCGCTTAGAGTTAATTTCAAATGAAATTAATCTACGATCGTGGGTTCGCTGCCCCGATTGAGAATTTCTAGATTAGTAGGTACTTGTCAGATATTTAAGTAATGATTTACCCCTAGGGTTGACGTTGGTGCCCCCCCTTGTAGTATGGTGAGCATTTGAGTCACACCCTACAATAAGGGGATTGTTTTTCTCACAGTGTAAGTTACCAGAATCTCCCGGGAGATATACTAATGCTATTACTACTTGAGTTTTACCCTGATATCAAGACCACACCAAAAGAGCATTAATAAGGCGGTTAGACTGGTCGGACGAGCCCGAAAACGAAGCGAGCCTCCTATTGGTCAGCGCGGCGCGTCCAATCCAAACACCACGGCGAGCGGGAAAGTGGGAAAGTCTACTTTACCCTTAAAGCGACCACTGAGACTATAATTGGGTGCAAGACTGTTGAGGGCGCAAAACAAGCGAGGAATAATAAATCAAATAAATCAATGACATTGACATCCGCCATTGGTTGGGGCTGTGGCTGCCCTTCTTCATCTTGGAGCGCTGCGCTTTACCGATTCCGGTCCCCGGTTGGGTTTTGAAGGCACGGAATCCATCAGACAGCGTCATCCGTGCTGATGGTGAAGCTGAAATGGATGCATTTAGTTTTCTTATTGCAGCATCCTCTTGGGCCGTTTCCACTTTCGCTCCTGTATTCCAGCCACAGGTGCGATATTTCTGATGTGCCCGAAATCGGATTTCCCCAGCTTCGCGAATACCTTCTCGGCCAGCGAGCGGAAGTGGTCGAGTAGAATGGGTATTTTCGGGAAGTGCCGGATGTCTTCGTTCCTTACGAACCTACCTGCCCTGCTGACAGTTCGTAAGGCGATGGACTACACCGTTTCCATCTTTTGGGCGTTGGTTTTACTGACGTACATCTTCCAGCCTGCAGAAGCGTTGTCATCGATGGATGCCTGCATCCTTCGGACGGCGATGTTTGCAGTTTGCTGTGGATCAGGTCGTCGGTGTATAACGCTACGTCACGAGTAAACCTTTCGGACAAAGATTTTCTGGTGAGCGTATATTCTCCAGGGCGAATTTCCTAGAGAGAAGTTTCCTGGAGGACGACTATTATATTAATTTTTAAAAGCGGATGTTCCCACAGCCGTCAATAGGTTATCCGCCTACAATGTTCCCAGTTGAAATTTACCTGGGGGCGCGTTCCCTTTGGGGGAAAATCTTGGGAGTTCTTTGGGACTGAAGCCTTTATTGAGGACAAAATAATAAAACGAGTTTGCTGGTCTGGACTTGCCTACAATTGACAATAAGTTCACAGCACCAAATCGCTGGGTAAAAGATTTTGTTGATTTGGGAAAGAACATTCCAGAGACGAATTTTCGGAGAGCGAATTACCTGTGCCCTTTAAGAAAAAGTTTACTTGGAGACGACAAAGTGAATTATCCAACATTCAACATTCACCAGATTTTGTTTTTAAAGTAAAACTTTCTTTCGACCATAATATTATTCGTGCACTCAGTGTTATGACCCTTCCTGATGGTAGTCCTTTTACCTTCGCTACCAGTGTATTTGTGCCCTGTAGGATGGTGGATTACCTAATTGCGTCATAAAACAGTGTCAATACTGATTTGCTTCAATGGAAACGTACTGTTTTTGGAATAATTTTAATCACCCATCAACAGAATACGAATCGCAATTGTACTTAAATAAAGTGGTTGAATGGAACTGTATTCATTAAGTCGGTCAAACACACCAGATGCTATAATTGATGGAATGTACACTACGTAACATCTTGAAACCTCAAACAAAGACTTATACCTACATTCGACCGTGGCAGTGATGGAAACGGTACCCATAGGGTCTATACTTATAACATTCGCCCCCATACAGACAATCCCTATTGACAGAGATAAAATGCTGCAGTTCTTTGTGCGTGTTAAACGCAGCATGTAACCACACCACACAAAGCCTAATCCCAAATGCCAACTGACGCCGAAGCTTCCGTTTGACTATCTACATCTAGGACAGTAGTAAGTGAGAAGCGTGTATTGACGGACAATGTACTTAAAATTAACGTGTGCAGGCAATTCTTAATGCATAAGGGGGTAAGTTAAGTGCAAAACTAACTAGCATTAAAACACACTTGAACCGTACAAAATTAGCAGTATTAAGTGTGATTTGTAAACAAATACCCATATTAAAGTCACCCACACATAGCATTGATATATGAGCGATAAGCAGCCGCCATACAGCATTACAAAAAATTATCTGACCCTGTGGAATGTTAATTAGGTTATATCCACTAATGGATATAATTCCGAGCTATTAATTGCACGTGATCGTTAGTTTAGATTCATATTTATTGCCAAAGGTGATAGTACACTTTGTATAGGAAAATCGCCGTGAACAATGAGAAAGCGATTTCGCAGTAACAAAAAACAGTCTCCTGGTTTGAGAGTTGTACAAAAAAATTAACACATTCATATATCTAAAAAGATACGAACACTATAGTGTACTCCAAAATACGAGTAAATCGTGTTAATAGATTACCCTAGTTACATATTTACCCAGTTTGTACAATATTGATTTAGTGTAATATGACTGATTAGAATTTCGTATTGACTTGCAAATGATTTCCCAAACTTTTCAAAAAGCAGAAGCGCCTAATGACCGTTTTGTAAAAGATTGTTGTCCTAGGATGTCACTGCACTACCCCAATTTTAAAATTTGACGTTGATTGATTGTTTCAAAACTTGCACTCTTTTATTTTTATCAGAATCAGTTTTGAATGTTAAAGCTAAACACTCCCAAGTTCGGGTAGATCTCTAAAGACAATTTTGCAATAGCAATTATGTATCTCTCAGTTGCTTGTGTTGAAAGCCCAAAAATGTAGAATATGAGGCTTGGTCCATTTGAAGCCAGAATTATTCAATATTGTCTAGAATTTATCTCGTAATATATCATTCTTTTGAATTGACTCCAGAAGGGTAACCAATTGAGATCTCCCCCTAAATGTTTAATTCGATTTTACGGTATTTCAAATTAGATTTTGAGTTGTTGGACTCAGATTCCACATGTCAGGACTGAACTGGAACTTTGCAAGGATTTCAAAGTCAAATTATAAAATTTGCGAATACTATGTTAGATGGACTTCAAGCAGTTTCGGGCTTCAGGTCTTGGGCATTGAGATAATGCTCTTAGCCTTTTTCCCAACGATCTTGGTGAATGAATAACGATTTTTTGGATAAAATACATGTGGCTTCGTGCCCATCGGAAAGATGGTGGCTGTAGAGATCAATTTTTAATAGTCCATGCTAAATATCTAACATAATTGATTTAAAGAAATTATTTCCCGATTCAAACCGGGTTTTTCATGCAGGTGAAACGATTAGAGATTGAGGAAAAATAATTAAAACAGCTGAATCCCGGAGGTTGAGAAGGGTTGGAATTTGTGGCAAAATTATTAACTTTCGGCGAAAATGTTCGTAGGGAATAAAAAATAAACAATTTTTGTGTCTACACTTTTTTTCACATACCTAACCTAAAATCTTCCGCGAGAAAACGGAAAAACTGTTTTTTTTTGTTCAGGAAAGAATTCGATTTTACTTCTAATTGCTTTTATTGCGGTAAAAATGGGGAAAAAAGAAGTAATAAAGATGTTTTAATTAACGTAGTTGAGCATTAGGAATCAAAAGAAAATATTTCACATTAAAGAAAAGAGAGATACGGGTTAATTTCGAAAAATATTTAATAGCGGCAATCCAAGTTGTTTTAATTAACGTAAGGTTATGTGAAAGAAGTGTAAATACAAAAGTTGTTCATTTTTTATACCCTATAACTTTTATTTCAAACACTTTCGCCTAAAATAGTTTTGCCACAAATGGCAAAATATCACTTTCCACCCCTTCAACCCCCGAGATATCGCTCGCGGAAAAATTCAGCTGTTTTAATTACGCATTTTTCCGTAATTTCGAATCACTTTACCTACATAAAAAACCCGGTTTGGATCGGGAACTAATTTTTAGCTTCGTAGCATGAGCTAGGGTAGCTATTGCGTTCACCTATTTTTGGACAAAATTTCATCAAATGTCGACGTTTTACATCATTTTAAGCAACAAAGAATAACATTTTTAGGCTATCATCACAAAAGCGTTGATTTTATGGTCGCTTTTGCGGCCATAAAGTTTCACTTTATTGTACGCTTCTGTCAAACTTTACTTTATTGTACACATCTGTCAAACTGTACTTATTTGAAACTGATGTGTGAGAAACAGTAATCTGTTTGATACAAAGCGTCTATCTGGTCTCGCCCCATCAATGATTGAGCCATCCACGTGCGTTTTTTTCGTTTTCGGACTTGTAGGAATGTTTCACATCATTTTGCATAATCACAATGTTCACATTTAAAATTATAGTTTGACGTTTTGCTGCTTGCAGACCTTTTTGAAGTGTAGAACCAAAACATGAGGAAGATGTTATTGCTTACATTATTATACGAAGAATCACCAGCAATAATCAGGTTTCTAATAATTGTACAGCATGTTAACTATACGGTCTTGGAAGCCACAGTTACGAAGGACCTATTGCATTTGACATTATTAAAATCTTGTGCAGCGGAGGAAGTTGCGATTGTACTTTTACTCTCAAACGCCTGCTCTTATATCATACCTATTACTTAGGGTCGCAACGCTCGCAGCTTCCAAAATTTCATTTTGGGTATCTGAACTGTCACCCATTTTGATACGCACAACACACGCAAAGATGCTAATTATAATTTATTACATATGACAGGAAATGCCTCGGGAAATGCTTGGTTTTAATTGTCTAAGATAGCTATGATTTTCAGAAAAAATTTGTTTATGAGCAAATTTTTGAATTCTTTTTTAATGATCGCCTAAAAAATGTTGTGTGCACCTTGGCCAAAA